GAAAACGGAGCGCTGCAGGCTGCAGCCCAGGCCCTGGAAACCTCCTGTTGTGCTTTTGCACATGGCTGGTAGCTGTGGAAATGGCCCTAGGCCTGTGCAAGTGAGCACTTGAGAATGCTCAGCTTAAGGAAGAATCAGCCCCGTCCACCTGGCAGCTGCGGAGCCTTGGTGGAGGACCGCCCTGTGTCAGAGGAAGGGCCTCCCCGCCTCCCGGGCCACAGGGAAGTGACCTCCCTGGCCACAGTGCATTTGGTCTGGTTTCCCCTGAAGCACCTTTGCTCCCAAAATGCAACACCCTCGGGGTGTCTTCCTCTGGCTGCCTGCGACTGCCATCTCCAGGAGGCCGCGCCCCTCTGCCTGGGGGCGGGGACCCTGCAGCCTCTCCCTCCCAGCCCCTGACGCCGCCCCCCTGTCTTCCTGCAGGTAAACAATGAGAACGGTGGCTGGTAGCTGTGGAAATGGCCCTAGGCCTCTCCCTCCCAGCCCCTGACGCCGCCCCCCTGTCTTCCTGCAGGTAAACAATGAGAACGTCGTCAAAGTCGGCCACCGGCAGGTGGTGAACATGATTCGCCAAGGAGGGAATCACCTTGTCCTTAAGGTGGTCACCGTGACCAGGAATCTGGACCCGGATGACACCGCCAGGAAGAAAGGTGTGTGCCCGTGTGAGCCCAGCCCCAAGCCCTGACAGGGGGATGGGCAGGGGAAGCGTGGGGCAGGTGAGGGTCTCTCCAGCGGAGCGTGCCAAGAGCCTCCCAAGAGCCCGGGCACAGCAGCAAGGCTGGGATTTGCCACCAGGGCCCATGACATGGACTCGGGGCCACCTCCTTCCCAAGGGAGGCCGCAGCTGGGGGATGCCATAGCAGAGCGGGGCCTGCGGGGGGGCGCCGAGAGCAGACCAGATGCACCCCAGCTCCCACTGCTTCATTCAGCCAGCATTTCCCAAGAGCACACTGTGTGGAGGCACCGGGGACACCAAGCTGAGTGAGAACAGGTCAGCCTGGGCTTGGGAAAGAGCACACAGGTGGCCACAGCCTGGGCACAGCCTGGGAGGGCTGCCTGGAGGAGGGGGCCAGGGGCGTGAGCAGGGAGAACCTACAGTGAGGGTGAGGAGGAAGGAGGGAGCCACCGAGGCCCCTGCTGGAGAGCTGCCTGGAGCTCATCCAGGCTCCTACATCAGCGGGAGGGTAGTTCCCCCGACTTTTCTCAAAACAGCATCAGCACATGTGAGATACCTGTGTCCCTGCCGTGACAGGGTGGGGCATGGGGGATGCAAGTTAGAATCCCACCCTGCCAAGGCCTTTGCCCCCTCTGGCAGGTGGTGGCTAAGGGTTCACAGGCTGCCAGAACCATCTGTGCCCCTTGGTTAAGCCCCGCCAGTCACCCACAGATGCCAGGCAGAGGCAGCGGGACAGGCTCCCTGCCGCAGGCTTCTGCCGAGCTTCCCACTGAGCACCCCGCCCCCGCCCACCTGCAGGCCCGCGTGCAGAGGCGCGAGGCCCTCTGAGAGCACCGGGCCTGTCCCACCGTGAGCACACCTAACCCTCGCAGCCCAAACAGCCTGCAGAGCGCCTGCTGCGTGACTTGCCCGCGGCCCGCAGAGGAAAAGCACAGGGTGCAGGCCCGCGCCTCCCGGGCCATGCCCATGTCCAGAGGCGCGGGTGGCGTGGGGTGTGTGGGGGCTGCAGCCAGGCCCTCACACCCCTGTCTCTCCGTCTGCCCGTCAAGCTCCCCCGCCTCCAAAGCGAGCGCCCACCACAGCCCTCACCCTGCGCTCCAAGTCCATGACCTCGGAGCTGGAGGAGCTCGGTAAGCGTCTCCCGCCCGGCCCACCCCAGCCCTGCCTGCCCCAGACAGCCTCCAGGGAGCCCCAGCCTGTGCATGACCCTCCGCTCACCTGCTTGCCCCTTTAATGACCCCACGCCCCCTTCCTGCCCTGCATGCCGAGGTGGCTCCGCCTGCATTTGGCATCTCCTTTGGGAGCCTTGTGGGGTGTTGATACTCTTTTCTGTTTATCTAACATTGTTTTGTTTTGGATTTTTGGGCCTCTCACTAGTGGATAAAGGTAAGCGGTCCCACAGGATCCCCCCTCCACTCCCCCTGCTGTCTAGGGCACCCCCACTGACACCGCCTCGGCCTGGCCTTGGGGGCCTACACAAGCTGCTCCCGATGCCGCAGAGCGTGGCTCAGGCCAGAGGTGCCAGCCCTCAGGGATACGGCGAGGAGAGGGTGTGCGTGGCAGACCTGTGTGGTCTGCACACCAGGTGTAGGGAGCTCCGCACCTTCTTAAAAGGTTTGCAGGGAGCAGAGATCGGCTCTGGCCATTTGACACCATCTTGGAACCTCGGAAGGGTGACTACTGGCCCCATGGGCCGTGGTGGCTGTTACAAAGAGGGGTGGCTCTGGAGCTGGCCATGTCAGCATCCCAGATGCTGTAAATGCCACACCAGGAGTCACCGTGGAGCCCAGGAACACCTTCAGGAGGAGGATGGCTCTGAAGCACACAGAGGTGTGCATGGGTGGGACACTTGGTCCACGAGAGCGTGAATAGGGGCCAGCGCAGGGTGGCCCGCACGGGCACAGGAACAAAGCCGGGCTCAAGGCCCAGCTGGAAGGCTCAGCCCCCCATTAGTTTTTTGACTGGACATCTCGCACACCAGATCCCAGCCTCTGATGGGAGACCTTTGGGTTCTGCCTCCACCAAAAGATAGAACAGGCACGGAGTGGCACTTGCTTCTTGCGCTCCCAGACACGAGGCAGCTCCTCCCCTGGGGCTCTAGCACACGCGTGCACGTGGGCAAGTGGGCCGACCGCCCCTTCCCGCCCGGCACTGAGGCTGGCCAGGCCACCTCTCGCTGTGTCCAGCTGAGGTGCTGCCCCACCCACCCACAGCACTGCCCCGAGCCCCCTTTCTTGAGCCCCCCACCTTGTCCGCTCAGACACGCCGGCGAGGGCAACCCGCTGTTCCCACGTGCTCCGCACCGCATGGGCGGCAGCGTGAATCCCCTGCACGCTTCACTAACAGGGCTGGCTCTTCACAGGGGCCTGGGGGGCTTCCTGAGAGGGACCAGCAGGTAGCGGCCCCTCCACACTCCTGAGCAAGGCCCCACTGCAGGCCTGACCTCTGCCCCCGTCTGTTCTTATAGAGCTGATTCCCACGTGGCAGGGGGTGGTGGGGCGAGGGCTGCCCCTCGGGAGGAAAGCCCCGGGACAGCCTCCGCCTCCTCTGGGTGGCAGGCTGACTAGCAGGGCAGACAGGGGAGAGCCTCCAGGTTGCCAGGTTTCCGAGATACTCGCTCTGTAGGTAGCGCAGCCGCCCTGCCCCTGCCCACCCAGTGTCCCCAGAACTGAGTCCCACCTACTTCCCCAGCCACCGTGAGCTGCCACCAGGTGTAGGCAGGGGTGGGCATCGCGTGCGCTGGCTCACGGCGCTCCCTTTCTGTTTGCAAGCCTCGGTGCGGAAGAGGAAGGGTAAGGGAACAGCCGTGTCTGTCTAAAGTCCCCTTGCCCGTCCCCGCCAGTGGGGAGAAGCCTCCCTTGTGATCGTCCCGTGAAGTCCAGAATGTGCCGCGAGCCGTGTGTTGTCTTCTCCCTGTGTCAGGGTCCTGCCTAGGGGTCCTGCCTGGGGGCCCCGAAACACGTCCCGTTTCGGTCTGTGCCGTCTGCTTTGCTTCTCCTGTCTGTGAGCCCCCCAACATGTCCTGTATTCTTCCCTGAGCTGTGTCCTTATTGTCTTGGCCGTGGAGCCAGCAGGACCCCTGCGTGGTCACAGCTGGACCTGCCTCAGCTGGGCCCCTCTGAGCTCCGTCTGTGCAGCCACACGGGGGACTGAGCCACATGGGGCTGCCTGGTCAGGTGGTGACCCTCTGGCCCTTCTGCAGCGGGCAGGGGCTGCCTCCCTTACTAGCCAGCCCCCCAAGAGGCCGCCCCACACCTCTCCACCCCAACCCCCACCCCGGGCTGGCGTGGGGTGGGAGGACGAGCAGTGGCCGTGGCCGTGAGCAGCCCTGACACAGGCCTCAGGCACCTGGCACTAGAGACGGTTACCCCAATGATGAAAAGCAGCATCTCAATTCAAATCCGCTTTTGTGGGGGCTGGAGGGGACCCCACCGCATAGCTTAGGCACTGACCCTAAGGCACAGTGCAGCAGGCGTGGTGTGCCAGACGCCGGAACCGGGGCGAGTGTTGGAACCCAGCAAGGCGGGCGTCCCGGCCCTGGGGACGGCATCTCCATCGCCCCCTCGTTCCTCCCGACTGTCTCAGCCCTCGTAGCCCTCTCTGTGGTGGCCCAGGGCCTCACCAGCACCCCGTGGCTGAGCGGGGAATTCTGGCAGGCTTTGTAGGATTGATTGCTGCGTCAAGGACATGGTGGATACCCAGGGCGTAGAACGCCCTTCTTTCTGAGGGTCATGGGACCACATTTCTATATGAACTCCCCTTCAATCCGGCACCAAACCCCAGCTCCCTGGAACAGCCCCTGTGATCGTCACACGTCCTTGGTTGCACCTGGGGCCTGCCCGGGCCCTGACCCGTCCACTTAGCTGTCTGCCCCCAGGGGTGCCTCCAGTGGACTGTGATGGAGATGAGAGGACAGAAGTCATGGTCCCCAGTCACGGGTCAGGGTCGGGCCCAGGGCAGAATCCACGCACAGGACAGACAAGCGTCCTGGAGAGTGGAGATCCCCCTTCTGACTGAACAGAGAAACCTGCTGCAAATTTGAGATTAAATGCACCCCACCCCAGTGACCCCAGCCCAAACAGGAGGCAGGGCTGTCAGCAAGAAGATCCCAGAGGTCCAGCAGCCATGGCCCAGCCCAGTTCTGTGGGGGGATCCAGTCGGGCCAGCGGGGTCTGGGGGCTACGGTGCTACAGCCCCCCATGCCCCAAGCCTGGGCAGTGAGGGCAGCGCATGGACCGATCCCGTAAAGGTCAGGCGCACGGCAGGTTTGTGCCAACCCCCTCGGGCTGCCTCTGCAAGCCTCTCTGGGACGACTGGCCTAACCTTGCATGAAGCGTTTATCTTGCTCCATAAAGGCTGTGTGGAATGAGAGAAGAATCAGGCCTTTACAGTTGTCCTGGGTTGGAGAGTGTCCCCCAACAGTCATGTCCACCCAGAACCTGTGAATGGGACCTGAATTGGAAATACGGTCTTTGCAGGTGTAATCAAGGTGAGGTGTACTGGATTAGGGTGGGCCCTAAGTCCGATGTCTGGTGTCCCTAGAAAGGAAAGAAGGAACAAACCATGGAACACCGAGCATTGCCAGAGCCACCAGAAGCTGGGAGAGGCGAGGATGGAGCCTCCCCGAGAACCTGCAGAGGGAGGGAGGTCCTGCTGACACCCTGACCTTAGATTCCAGCCTCCAGAGCTGTGAAAGGATAAATCTGTTGTAAACCACCCAGTCTGTGGTCATTGGCTTCGGCAGCCATAGGAGCTAACAGAACAGTGAGGGAGCCTCAGACCCCAGCCCTGCCCTCGACCAGCTACTCCCCCTACTTAGTGGTCCTGAGTCCTGACTTCCTCATCTGGAGCCCTTTGTTTAGTCCTCAAGTGTTCACTGAGCACGTGCCCTAGTCCCCAGACACCGTGCTGGGCACAGGCCCCAGGGTGTCCAAAACCACCATGGCCACCCTTGTGAGTGCACACTGACTCCGGGCAGCTCCAGCAGAGGCCCGCTGGCAGGGCAGGGGTAGTGGGATGGGCTTCTGGCCCTGGGCACCTGGAGGGGACCAGGGCTTCCAACCCTGATGGGGTCTGCACTGTCTGGACAACCTGTTCTGGGCACCTCTGGCATAGCCACAGACCCCGTCCCTTAGAAGGCATGTGACCCACTGGAGCCTGTGGGCCAGGACCAGTCCACCAGGCCCACACCCACACTTCCCGCTCCTTCACTGCACCTGCAGATGAAGCCAGAGGCCACCAGCTGGCCACAGCCGCTGCTTCTAACATGTGTGGGTTTGTCCTTTAACATCTGGCGCACAGATGTGTTTGTTTCCTTCTGGAAGCAGCATTGCAGAGGAAACCCTGCATTGTGCTGTCTCACCCAAGACAGAGCATGGCGGGTCTGCCCCTCAGAGAGGTGGACAGAACCACCCGGTCAGGTTCAGGCGAGGGGCG